AACCTGTAGTGACCAGTGTAAGTTCTCTGACTTGGAGTCCAGTGTCAGGAAGTAACATGAAGAGTTTTGGCTTCATTGAAAGTAACCCTGGTGTTCCAACTGAAATTGCAGTAAATCTCCATGAAAAAACACCTTACGATTTTTTCAAATTCTTCATAACAGATGATGTTATTGATTACATGGTGAAGGAAACTAATATCTATGCCAGTCAGACTTTACAAAAGGGTAATATCAAACCCTGCTCACGACTGAAAAAGTGGTACGATGTTACTTCTCAAGAAATGGAGCGATTTTGGGGAGTATTGTTTTGGATGGGCCTTAGCAAGAAGCCAAGACTTTCAGACTATTGGTCCAAAAACATTTTGTATGACAATTCAGTGAAAAAGTTTATATCACGTAACCGCTTCGAAATGCTTCTAAGAATGTGGCATTTCTCTAACAATGAAGCATGTCCTCCTGGTGACCGTCTCTTCAAGATCCAGCCCCTTCTTGATCGGCTTCTTGAAAGGTTTCAGGTTGCTGTAGTTCCAGGTAAGGAAATATGTATTGACAGAACAACGGTGCCATTTCATGGACGTTTGAGTTTCGTACAGTATATAAACAAGCGCCATAAATTTGGAATAAAACTTTTCAAACTTTGCCTGAAAGATGGTTACACCTGGAACGTGAAAGTCCACTGTGGGAAAGAACCAAGATCTGGCATTCCTGTTTCGTCCTCAGTTGTCATGACGCTGTTAGAAGGTTTACTAGATAGCGGACGTGTTTTATACACTGACAGCTGTTACACCAGCGTCCTCCTAGCTCATCGGCTCCTTGAGCGCTCTACGTATCTGGTGGGCACACTAAGAAGTAACAGGAAGCTAAACCCGCCAGATGTAGTGAAGGCAAAACTGAACAAGAACGAAGTAGTAGCTCGAGAAAGTGACACAGGAGTCGTCGTCCTCAAATGGAAGGACAAGAGAGATGTGCTCATGCTGAGTACTATGCATGGCGAAGACACTAAGGCAGTTGAAACGAGAAAAGGTGTTGTAGAAAAACCACATGTGATTGTGGATTATAATAATTCGAAGGCATTCATTGACCTCTCGCATCAGCTGAAGGCGTATTCGTGCTCTTTGAGACGTGGCATAAAGTGGTTCAGAAAATTAGCCATAGAGCTAATCACAGAGTCAGCTTTGGTGAACTCGCTCATTCTCTACAGAGCTGTGACCAAAAAGAAGATCTCGGTCACAAAGTTCAAAGAACAAGTTTGCCTCAAACTGCTCCAGACAGATGAAACACCTCCCGCAGTGCCGTCCCTCCCGCTGCCATCTGGGACTTGTTCCCTCAGGAACATGGGCGCTGCCAGAAGAAGATGTACCGTGTGCTATGAGAGGACACAGGCCGAGAAGGGCTGGGAATATGCCATGAAGAGGTGTAAACAGACAGCGTGGAGATGCAGCAAGTGCAGCGCGTACTTCTGCGTGGAATGCTTCTTCCTGAAACACACATCGATAAAAAAGTAGTATAAAGACTTGAAAATTAGTAATATAAAAAGTAATGTGAAAACTTGAAAAAATTGTTCATGAGGGTAGCGTGTTTTTCTTGACTTGTCAGGCTTAAGTGTAATTTAAAGGTGAGCATAAATAGAAAAACGCAGTTTATTGGCTTCATTTAATCTACATTTTTAGAATTAAGTTGTCAATGCTAGTTGTAACAATAAGAACGCCAACAAGTAAGATTTTTCACAAACCAACTGCAGGCTTTTGCCCATGTGCCATTCATCACGTGTGTGCGCACCACATGGCTCCCAAGACCTTGGGCTCAAAACCAGCGTGAGTTACATACAATTCACGTGGCAGTTAATGTGTTAACCTTCGTAATCACCCTACACCAGGGCCAGGGGATCATAAGAGAAAGTTGGTGCTGGGGGGTTGGGTTGCAGCAAGATGGCCATGAAGACACTGTGTCCCCCAGACCTTTGCCACCTGCGGGTCTGAGGGGCCCCAGTCCCAAGAGGTGCCGTGTGAGGGTGCTGGCATTTTCCCATGCCCAGTGCGTCTTCTGTGTCCTTCCCAGCAGCATCTCTCTGGGCTCTGTGGTTTCCTGCCTTGGAGCAGGCAAAGCCTTGGCTCCCACCTAGGCGGGCCAGTAGGGGGCAGGGGTGCCAGTTCGGCATGTACTACATGCACACTGAGCTGACAAAACCCCAGCCAGCTCATGGTCACCTGGATCCTGTGGGCCTTTGGCCAGGGGGGCAGGCCCTGTCCCTCAACTCCAAGGAGCTGGTGCTGCAACCTGACCGTGAATGCCACCTTCAGCTACCACGGTGAGCCCGTGTAGGGGGACATCTGGGCATCACTGCTCACCTGGCTGCTGGTGGCCTGGTGCCAACACTGAGTCCTTCCTGATCATTGTGGCTGCCAAGCTGCCCTTTGGCCCTGGACTACCATGGAGGGGCGTCCAGTTGCTATGCCACCCTCGGCCCCCTCATCTCCCTTCTTGCCCGAGCTGCCTGAGGACTTGTCCTCCACCCAGGACGGCAGCAGCAGCTCCTGCTGCTTGGCCTGCTGGCCAAAGGCATGGCAGTGCTGGAGGCCATCATGGAGAGCCAAGGGGTGGCCGCACTGGGCTCATGCTGGGGCCCAGCCCGACACACGGGCACCTCCAGGCCGCCAAGGTCCTGGAGCTGTACGTCAAGGAAGAGGAGCAGACCCCACTGCCCTGTCATTGTGACCAGGCCCGAGGGGAGGGATCACCTGCTCCGCAGCTAGCCATGTGGGGGTGGGAGGCAAGGTTCCAGGAGAGCTGCCTTCAGTTTGAGTTAGGGGAGTCGGGGAGACTGGGACATCACTAGGAGAAAAAAAGCCTTGGTCAGTGCCTTGCCAGTGTATCTGCCGCTTCCTGTGGGCAGGCCATGCTGTCACACCATGTTCTATGCCCCCAGAAGAGGGGTGTCCATGTCCTCACCTACCCCCATGAGTGTCACTGGCCAGAGCTGATGAGGGTAGCAAGCCCTGGTGGCCGCTTGCCACAAGTCCATGGGTACAGTGGCTTCCCTGGAGGGAGCAAGCCCTTGGGACGTAGTGTGCATCCTGTTATGTGGGTGGGCACGGGTGTGCCTGCCCCTCTGCCACACGGGCCCCCAAAGCACTACAGGCCAGGCAGGGAGACCCCATGGCCCATGACATGAAAGCGTCTTGAAGTTTTTACTCTGAAAAATTTTTAAGTTTTTTCTTTTTAAGTGTTGTATTTTTACTAAATACTGTCAGCGTATGTGACACTTTGGTTTTATTTCTCCCTCTGTGAAGGTTTTTCTCTTAAGGTTTTGTGGGTTTCCTTGCTGTGCCTTCCCCTTTGAAAGTAATTTTGCTGTTTCCCATCTTAGGGGCATCCGGTCCCTTCTGATAGATCTGGTTTCTGTAGCTACTTGTGTGGCCTCAGGCCTGCCTGGGTTCCGGGCCTAGGTTTAGGGTGTGTTGGGGCCAGGATCACAGGTGACAGCTTTGTGAGGACAGCCCTGGCGGTTCTGGCTTCACAGCTCGGGTGCTGGGCACGCAGGCACCCATTAAATGGCAGCATCGCTCTGTGTGGACTCTGGGTGTCGAGCTGGATCCTGGGGTCCCTGAGGACAAGGCAGGAGGGGCGCGCGCAGGCCCCTGCCCACCTTCAGGCCCTCAGCTCTGCGTGGGCCGTTCCAGCAGTCCACCGAGGATGGGTGCACTCTTGGCAGCCCAAGTGAGAGCCAGGCACGGTGACAGGTAGCCCGAGCTAGCACTTTGGGTCTTCATGAACCGACAAGCAAGAAGCCCAGGCCAGAAAGGAGAGGGGGATTTCAGCCTTGCCTGGGCCATGGCGGCCGGCATCTCTAGGGACGGCAGGGTAGTGGGCAGGTCGGGGGCTCCCCAGGGGTGGTCCAGAGAGGCTGCCTTCAGGCCCCGGGGCAGGGTTTTCCACAATGCCCGTGGGGGAAGCTATGCTGGCGGCCCCATTGTGGAGGAGGGATTGTCCCAGCTTCTCCAGCTGTGAGGCTGCTGGCCCGGGACCCACACCGTGGTTTCTCCTGGAATGCTGGGATCTTTGTCAGGCTGGCTGCTGGGAGTGGCTCTCTTGCCCCCACCACCAGCAGCCCTTTGAGCCTCCCTCTGGCTACCCCATCTAATGGGTGCCAAGTGGCTGTAGCTGAGCACCCACAGCACCCCAGGCTACCCAAGGGAGGTCTGGTCATGTGATGGTGCAGACAAGCCACTCGGTGGAGGAGGCAGCTGCCCCACCCCCGTCTGCCGGCCTATCGGGAGGGGCCCAAGGGGTAAAGCGGCAGTGGTGCCGGTGCGGGCTTGTCCCCACGGCGCTCCGCAGGGCCTGCCGTCCTACCTCTAGGCACGGGTAGCTCCTCACCTCCAGCGTCTTAAGTTTAAATAGCCACAGGTGGTCCCCACCTGCTCCAAATCACCGTTTCAGCAGCTGCTACAACGGGCAGCCCAGAGAGAATGTCCTCAGCGCCCCTGCTCTCTGCTTGTCCCTGGGAGGTTAATTTCGGGGGTCGTGCAGCCTGCTGGGTTTGCATCTTGGCTCTGCCAAATGAGGCCCAATCGCTTGCCCAGACGTCGGGATCGGTGCCAGCTGGCTGGCTGTGGGGCCGGGCTGTGAATCCTGCATCTTCTGCGAGCCTCCCGCTGCCAGACCGCCCGGCCCCGTCCGCCAGGGCATCCGGGCACTGAAAGCTGGTGAGGGTCCGACTCCTGTGAGCGCGTGGCCCACGGTGAGGCTCACCATGACTAGATTTTGTCACGCGTTTATGCAGGGATGTGTGCCACGTGTAGACACACGCCAGCATGTGTGTACAGACATACCGCGTAAGTGCAGAAACATCAACACGCATGTCCATACATACACCGTGCAGGTGTACACGCACCCACAGGAGCCACCTTCACACAGACACGCACGCACACAGCTGGCTTCCAGGCCACGGAACCCAGCCTGCCCTTGTTCCCTACACACACCGAGTCACAGAAGCCAGAGCAGCGAGTGTGCACACATGTTGGGATCCAATGTCAGCTAGGGGAGGGTGCTCCCCAGTTTCCGGCTCACACAGGACCCCCCCAGGCCCGCAGGCAGCTCGGTCTCCAGGCCAGCAGGCCCAGCCCCAGGCAGAGGGCTGCCAGCACCACCACGGCTCCGGCCAGCAGGGGCACCACGGGGGCTGTGGGGAGAACATGCAGGTCGTGAGTTCCAGAACTCAGCCCCCCCAAACCCACCCCAGCACAGAGGACTGTCACCTGGCGGGGTGGCAGTCTCATAGGAGCCGTGGCAGGGGACCCCGTGAGCTGGAGGCCGGACTGGGGTGGTCAGCTGGTGGAAGCGGCCGAGTGGGCAGGGGTCTGGGCACCCAGGGAGGCTGAGAGACAGGGGCGGGCGGGCCGAGTCGTTGCGGTAGAAGAGGGAGATGGTGACATTCCTGGAGGAGAGAGCAGACGGTGGCACCTCCCCTGCCGCTGACCTTAAAACCTGGAGAAACGGGCTCCTGATTCCCGCCTGCCAATCTCCTAACGCCATCCTACCCAATTCCCCAGTGCCTCGCTGTGCCCTCTGCTGGGCGCGTCACCCCTCTTGAGAGTTCTGTCCCCCCCACTCCCCTGGGTGCCACCCCATCCTCACCCTCCGTCTTCGTCCGGATGCCCGAGGCGCCTCCGGAACTCAAAGCCAAGACAGGCAGCATACGGCGGGGCGTGCCCATCGTAGAGGCCCAGGGCCCCCTGGAGGGCCAGCAGGGTGCTGTCGTGCTGCAGGCGGGTCGGTGGGCTGAGACAGGGCTCCTCTCCTGAGGTCTCCTCTCTCCTGAGCTCTAGACTTGTACACCCAGCTGCCTCCCAGATGTCCCCCAGGCTCCTTAGAACTAACCCTGCCAACCTGCTCCTCCCTCCTCTTCCCAAAGGCAATGCCACCAGTTACAGGCATTGATTTAGTAAGGATTGGTCAAATAGAGACAAAACATGGTTGGACAGCTAGATCAAACAACCTGTCCTTCCAGAGGAGCTAATTCTTTCTCCCAGGACACCATCACCTCCCTCCTTTCTGAATCTATACCTCTAGTGATACAGTCCAAGAGTAGGGTTTGGAGATAGGGGTTACCCAAGGCAGTGAGCTGAGGCTCCATTGGGACCACAGGCTGTCCCTCACCCAAACTGCCATCGCCCTCATCCCTGTGCCCAGATGGCACTGCCTCCCTTCCCGAGCACTCACAGCTGAGTACATGACCATCTTGAGGGGCAGCCCCAGGCGCTGGACCCGGGAGAAGTTGGAGAGGATAGCATCCAGCAGGATCCCTGAGAGGGCAGGAGCAGAGAGCTCGGAACCCCTGAGGGGAAGGTGACCCCACCTCCCGGCGTCCGGGCTCCACAGCTCACCCCCTGTCAGCTGGGCTTTCTCCGCCGCCCGAGGTGGGCCCACGTGGGCCCCGATATCCAAAGTGGAGATCTGGGCAAGTGTCCTCAGGACGTCTGGGGAGGCCCAGGAGGGGAGGGGAAGGCCGTGGGCTTGCTGGAAGAGGCAGAAAGAGGACAAAGGGACAGGCCCTCCCAGCCTGCGCGAGGCCCTCTCCCCCTCCCATCTGAGCCCCTCCCTCACGGGCTGGGTCTGGTCGGGAAATCATGGCGTGCAAACCGGCGATAATTCCTAACAGCGGTCACCATCACTGCGCAGTCCAGAAGGCTTTATCTGAGACCCTTGGGGCCAGGGGTGTTTCAGAATTCAGGCGTTTTGGATTTTAGAAAGGCGCGATGGTGCCACTGCCGTCCGGCACGTACCACACAGCGACATTCCCACCGTGCGCTACGGAACGCTCCCACGAGGCGGGGGAAGCAAGACTGTCGCAAGCGCCGCATCACTTCAGGTGAGCTCCCGCTGCCCAGGTTTGGGGTTTTCCAGTTATGGGACTTTGGGGAAGAATTGCCAACGTATATGCAGCCTCAAGCCCGCGCGCGGCCCTCGCCACCCAGTGTGCTAGGCGCTGTTGCAGCAGTGATGTGGATTAACCTCTTTGACTCTTCACAGCATCCGCAGGAGGTGCTGATATGGGTGTTGCCATCCCCATTGTGCAGATGGGGAAACTGAGGCATGGAGGGTTAAGAAACTTGCCTGAGGGAACATAGCTAGCAAGTGGCAAAGTTGGGATTTGAAACCAGGTGTCCTTAACCCGTTGGCTGGGAGGGGGTGAGGGCTCACCTGGCAGATCAGTGTGTCTAGAACTTTCCATGCCCTGCGGAGCGGCTCTCCAACCAGCGACAGCCCCGTGAAGTTCTCCAGGTGCGTCAGGAAGTCCTGGATGCACCGGGCTGGGTGAGCCCCGCCGTCCTCCCTGCCCTGCCCCGCCCCACGTCCACAGCGCAGCTCACCGTCCAGCCCTCCACGGCCTCCTGGTACTCGGCAGCCTCAGTGGTCTCCCGAAGCAGTTCGTGGTACCGGGGACAGCTGCGCATGGGGAACCTCAGCAGCTGGGGGAAACCGAGGCTCAGAGAGGACAGCAGCATGCCTGGACTCGCACAGCACGCAGGGGAGCTGGGGCTCTCGGCCCTGGCCTCTGGTCCAGTCTCTCCTGGACCTAGCTGAGCGGCTGGGGCGGCGGCTCAACCCTGTCTGGACAGCCTGGCCCCGGACCGGCCTTGCTGCCCTGAGCAGGCGCAGGCTTCTAGAAGCCCACACGGCCGGGCCTTGGAGCTGCCTCTGACTCCTTCCGGCTCAGTGACTCTGTCCCTTTCCGTCTGTGTCCCCTGTCTGTCTCTCTTCACCCCTCTCCCTTCACCCTTCCCTCTCCCTTCCCACACCCCGTCCAGCCCCCTGACCTTGTCCTCGGTGACGGGCACTGTGTGCACAGGGATGGGCCTCCAGTGGGCCTCCAAGCCCCCCGGGGCAGCCTCGGGGAACAGCCCGGCCAGGTTGGCCTGAGCGCTCTCCAGCGTCCGGTCAAAGTCTGTGCTGCGAATGTACACCTGGGGCAGGATGGGGAGAGGGCACGCAGGGGTGGGGGACCGTGGTCAGTCAGAGCTCAGCTGTGGCGACAGATCAAAAGCTGCAGATTCAGCCTGGCATAGGTTAAAGGTCCTGAAGGGGGATTGAAAGTCAGGCATTGGGAGTCAAAACTCAGGGTGGGTTTGAGCATCTGGCCTTCGCTGTTGGAAGTTGGGATCAAGGGTCAGAGATCAATGTCAGGAGCATTCAAATTGGAGGTCAGAAGTTGGGGGGACGTGTTGGATTAAGGGGGTCAGTTGAGTCAGTGAGGATCAGAAAGGAAGATCAGAATCAGTGGAGGCTGGAGGTTAGAGGTCAAGATGTGGAGGGCAGGTTGGAGGACTTGGGGTCAGAGTTTAGTACATGTTCGTCAGAGGTCAGAGGTCAAGAAGACTGATCCTAACTGGTGGGTTAGAAGACAGAGGAGGGGACAGGAAAGGAAGGTCAGAATTGATGAAGCATAGAGGTCAAGGGCTGGCGGTCAGGAGGTAAGTAGAGTCAACATGGATCAAAGACAGAATCAATCAAGTTTGAGGCTCAGAGGTCAGAGGTCTAAGGTCTGGTTGGAGTCAATGGGAGTCAGAGGTGGAGGCCAGAAAATAGAGTTGATAGAGGTCAGAGGTCAAGATGCGACTCTGGTTGAGATGAGGTCAGAGATCAGAGGTAGAGTACAGGTCAGGTTGATGGAGGTCAAAGGCCAGAAGCGGAAGCCCAAAGGGAGCATTGAAGTGAGTGGAGGTCAAAGGTGGGAGGTCAAGGGCCAGGTAGAAGTAGACACGTCAGTACCTCCTCCCGCCGGTACTTGGGACTCAGAAAGTCCTCGTAGCGGCTCCTCAGGAAGCGGCCCAGCTCCAGCTGCTGGCGGACGCCCTCCTGGGGACAGAGCAGCCTCAGCAGACCCCTCCCCAGCCACTCCCACCCCTCACCTTCACCCCCGCTTCTCACCCCAGTCAGCTGGCCCAGGCCACGTGGCCACAGGGTGGAGACCACCTCCTTGTGCGGGTCCGTGGGGTAGGAGGCCAGTGGGGCCCGATCACCATGGCGGAACACCTGGGGACAGGACTGGGTCAGGGCTGGCCTGGGGACAAGAGAGGCCAGGCCAGGCAGGGTGCCTCACCAGAGCCACAAACACCAGGGGTCCTTCTAGCAGGGCCTGTGGCAGCAGCACCAACAGCAACAGGAGAAGAGGTCCGGCGGGGTGGCCCCGAAACCCTGGCCCAGCCATTTCCACCAGCCCAGACGCTGAGCTCAGCCCTCTGTCTGGGCCGCAGCCCCACCTGCGCGTTACCCTCCGCCTCAGCACCCCCATTAGAGCAGGTCCCAGCATGCCTCCCCCGGGGCCACGGCCTCCCGGATCCAGCTCCCTCGAGGTCTTTGCCAGTCTTGGATTAACCCCTTTAATCTTCACCACAACGCCAGGAGGTGTTGATACAGTTATCGCCATCCCCATTGTGCATATGGGGAAACTGAGGCATGGGCGGTTAAATAACTTGCTTGGAAAAACACCTAGTGAATGGCAAAGCTGGGATTTGAACCCAGGTGCTTTTAACCTGGGCACAGACTCAGGGAGAGAGACCCCCACCCCCACATTCTAGACTCACATTCTCTGTTCTCTTCTCCCTTCTCCCTCCTCCACTCTGAATCTGTTCTTCCTTTCCTTGCTCCTTAAATGTTAGCATTTTTTTGAGGCTCTCTTGGGCTTCTTGGAGATTTCACCTTCTGGTACCACCCACAGGTGGCCAAAGCCAGTGCTTGAACACTCAGACTCTGGCATAGGACAGACTGGCTTCAGATGCCAACTTCACCCTTTATAAGCTGTGTGACTTTGGGCAAGTTACTGCACCTTTCTGTGCCTTCACAAAATGGGAGCAAGCACAATCTGTACCACAGAGTCACTTTCAGGATTAGATAAGTTCAAACATATTTAGCACTTAGAACAGGGTTTTGTGAAGAGTAACTACTGATAGTCATGTAATTGATTACCATGTAGCAAATTACACTAAAACTTAGTGACTTAAAGCAGTGAGATTTATTGTTTCTCACAGGTTTTGTGGGTTGTGAATTCGAGAGCGGCTTAGCGGGGTGATCCTGGCTCAGGCTATTTCACCAGGTTGCAGTCAAGCTCGCTGGGGCTGCGGTAGCCGCCTCCAGGCTTCCCGACATGGCTGGAGGCTGGAGGCCTCGGCTCTCACCGCACAGACCTCTCCACGGAGCTGCTTGAGCATCCTCACAACATGGCGGCTGGCTTCCCCCGGAGCGAGCGATCCAGGAGACAGCAATGTCTTTCATGCCTCAGCCTCAGAAGCCACCCTCCGCTATTTCCAACATATTTTATTGTTGTTGCAGGTCGGCCCCATTCTATGATTGAGAGAACTACACAGCGTGTGAACACCAGGCGGCGAGAATCGCTGGGGCCATCTTGGAGTCTGGCTCCACAATAATGTTCTCTAAATAAATAAAGACGCCTCCTCATCGCCCACTTCCTGAGTTCTGACCAGCTGCCACCCTGAGTCTCCCAAGGGCTCACCACGTTGCCGACGCAGCTTGGGCAGCCCCTCTCCCCTTAAGTCCTCATCTCAGTGACGGTCCTGACCCCCCCAAGTTATGGAGGCCAACTGTATTGGTCATGTGTTTTATTTTCTGTACTTTGATGCTTTGACATCTGAGGCCTCCCTTACCGTGGAAGGACCACCCCTCCCAGGGTTACGGATTCCCAGAGACAGGAGAGGACTGGCCCAGGAGCCCACCTTTTGTATGCAAACCCACCAACCTGAGCCCTCACCCAGCCAGGCCACTAGCCACCTGCCCTGATACCCCAGGGAAGGTACCAGGACAGCCCTTGTGCCCCAGACTGTGTTGAAATTGTTCATCTAGCCAATCTCAGGCCTGCTTACCGGCCTCATCCATTTCTTCCTGCAGAAACCACGAGAAAGGCTCTCCCTGCGGACTCCTCATCGCCCCCTGCCCCCTGTGGCATGCTGTGCCCCCTCCTCTTTGGGGACCTGTGAGTATAACAAGCTGTCTTCCACAGACCCACTCAGTCAAAAATAAAAAATAAAAAAACAATCTGTCTTTCATTGTCTCCTGATCCGCTGGCCCCGCCACAGCGGAAGGAGAATCAAGCGTGCAGCACTGGCTGGCGGCTGCCCCCCGCCGACCCGCCGAGCAGCAGCCCCGTCTTGTCCTGGCCCCCTTCCACCTCCAGCTCCTCTCTGCCCACTCCAGGGCCTCCACCCGACTTTAAGCAGAGACACAGAGAGAGAGAGAGAGAGAGAGAGAGAGATTCAAAAAATGTCTTGTGTTTTGAATGCACCAAAGTGTCACATGAGCTGAGCAAAGGTTAGGAAAAACCGCTGGAGCAAAATGAACTAGAAGCCACGTTCTGTCCCCAGAGATCCCAGCACCTTAATGTCCTCTCGGGTTTGGCTGCTGTGTGACTGCTGTAACAAGGTACCACTCACTCCATGGCTTGAAACGACACACATTTATTCCCTTACAGTTCTGGGGGTCTGAAGCGCAAAATCAGCCTCGCCGGGTGGGAAGCCGGGTGCAGTCGGGGCCACGCTCCCTCCGAGGGCTCCAAGGGAGAGGCCCTGTCCTCGCCTTCCCCTTTCCATCTTCCCCCGGAGCCCGCAGCGTGGCGCCTTGTTTCAGCTGTCACGCTGCCTTCAGTTTCTGTCACCAAACCTCCCTCTGCGCACCCCCTGCAAGGACCCTCGAGATGGCATTAGGCCACCTGGGTGCTCCAGGATCATCTGCCCATCTCGAGGTCCTTAAGCGAACCCCACCTGCCAAGGTCGCGCTTTTACAGGTTTCAGGGATTAGGACGTCGACACTTTGGGGGCCATGACTCAGCCCGCCACAAGCGCATATGGGAAAATGTTCTGGTTCTTTCCGCATTTGCCCGTGTGCTCCCCGGGATCCACTCTCTGGCCCTCTCTGTGGGCCCTGCCCCCCTGGCTCTGGTGGGGGTCCGTCGAGGGGAGGGCAGGACATGGCAGGGCGGAAGGTGCCCACTGGAGCACAGCTCCTCGGGCCCCCTCCCTTGGGGTGAGGTGATCTCCCCTTCGCCTGCCCCTTGATGCCCGGGGGTGTGTGTTAGTGTCCTGGGGCTGCCGTAACAGGTTACCACTAGCTGGGTGGCTTAAAACGGCAGCATTATTTATTCTCTCACAGATCTGGAAGCTGGAAGTCCAAGTTCAAAGTGTCCAACAGGGTTGCTGGTTCCTTCTGGAGACTCTGGGGGAGGATCTGCTTGCTCTGTGCCTCCCTCCCAGCTCCTGGTGTCGCCAGCAATCCTTGTCCATTCCTGGCTCGTGGGTGCATCGCTGCAG